TTTGTCCAGGCCAGCAGTGGAGAACTGATAGCATCAGCAAGATAACCCACGAAGCAGAAAAGAGCATCACCTTTAGTATTAATGCCTTTTACACAGTAGCCCTTCTCCAGGATGGTCATCTGAACCTGCCCTATCACGCCTAGGAATTTCATCCTACTGCTGTGGATGAAGGACTCTTCACAGTTACTGCAGTCTTTGCAACCATTCAGATACAAATGAAGGTACTGTCAATTTTTTAATAAAATATTTGCAGTTAAAAGCCTCCATAATTATTACAGTGTCCCTGATTAAGAATTTGAGATGCTTCCACAAGAACAATTTGAATCTCTTCCTTTCCAAGCACTGCACTGGTTATTTAATTTCAGTTATTTACTATGAGAAACAGTATATTTCACATAGTAGAAATGTGCATTTGATCTGGAAAGTTTCAGTCAGTGGTTAGCTGCTGGTTTTGCCTTGCTGCATTTAAGCCTGTTCCACCTGTTGGAGAGCTCAAAAGTGTTCCTTTCTCCTCCCAGCTCTACCAAGAGAAATACAGAGAGTTCTAGCAGCCTACTACTGATGCTCCTTGTTTCTTCTCAAAGTTCAAGCCACTCATGATTATCCACCTGTTCTGTGGTGTATAAATCAGTACACCAGTGTCATTTCTGAATTCCTACACAAAGCTGGCTTTCCTCAGGATCTGTAAATGAAAGGTCACAGCCCCAAGTATCAGATGATGTGGGTAATACCCAGCATAGCAAAAATATCAGTATTTGAAGCCTAAACCAGAAAGGAGCTTCCATGACCAGTAAGTTGCTTTCACTGGTTTGTACAACAGGATAATCAGTATATGTTGTCTTCAGTAGTGGTGGAGGAGGAGGAGGTGCTTTCCCACATCACAGGAAAATGGATGAGTCCTTTTGCCCTCAGAGCAGCTTTGAAAAGAGCTGGAGTGAACATTTTCCCAGCAGAGTACTCTCCCAAGTATGTCCCTGTGCCCAGGAAGGTGAGTGCCAGAGAGGTTCCTGGTGGTTTTTCCCCGTTTTTCACTCAGGTCACCCTTTCCTGCACTGGGAGCTGCTGTGCTGCCAGCTGAGCCAGGGACTGAGTAAAGCAGGCTCTGGCACTGCTGTAACACAGGGAAATAGAGAGAGATCTGTTTGTTTGATTTGTACTTGTACTGCAGGCTGCCCTGGCAGAAGTGAAGGCCTATGAACAGATGGCTCTGCTTGCAGCTGCTTTTGCTTTTGCTCACAGCAAGTGGAATAGAGAAGCAGGGCCAGAGCAAGTCATGTTCAAGGTTTGTGGAGTCCAACAAAACTTCCAGGGTAGACCATCATTGACCCCTTCCCCAGTGAGAAACAATTAACTCACCTGTGGTGGCTTCAGCCCCAGCCTCAGTTCAGTGTCACAGACCGCACCTGAGAGCTCTCAGGGGACACAAGTCTCATCAACAAAGACACTTGCTAAGGAAAATGGAACTGGTAAGTCACCAAGGGAGGCTTTAGCCAGAGCTGGGGTGTCAGAGCTTCATGCTCTTCAGAGGCCCCTTGAAAATCAGCTATCTGCTCTGCCAGCTTTTTAATGAACAGCTTCTTCCTGCCTGTAGGGTTTCTTTTGCTCCCTACTGCAAAGGAAGGAACGAGCAACCTCTCTGTTGGTTTGTCTCCACCTGTGAGCTAAAACACATGGTTAAAACCTCCCAGCCAGACAAACACTCCCATGTGTGGCTGGAGAAAGGTAGCACACCCCACTGCTGAAAGCTGCAGTGGCTTTCTCACAGGTTAAATGCATGTGACACACAAATATTAGAATTTGTACTCTGACAATGGCACAGGCTTCACCTCATAGTGCATTTCTTCTTGCAATAGGTGAGCGAATATCTCACAGCAGGTTCTGCCAAAGACAACGACTGGGCTTTTTTATGTTCAGTGGTGAAAAAGTACAAAACCTCAAGCTCACTGAATCCAGTGAGGCTTTTTCAGAAGAGCTGGAAGAAGAGTCTGAATTTCACTCCACACTCTACCATATGCTCAAGGATTCTGACAGCAATGAAGCCATGGATAAAGTGGAAAGAGCTGGCTTCCTGTTTATTGATTCTCTGTATCAGCTGCTCCTTGCTACCAGAGTCTTAGCATACTCTTAGATACTGCATGCTTTCCTTCAAAATTTTATTATCAAAGGCTTTCAATAAAGTTATATTTCAAGTCTTAAATCCTTTTCTATTCAAATCATTGAAACAGGTTCTAAAATGCAAACATTTTATCTTTATTCAAGCAAAATAAATTCTTTATTCAATTGTGCCTAGACCACCTAGACATGTTTATTGTTAGCTACGTTCAAAATTGCTATTCTATAGTAAACCTCAACAGAACTGAGACCCTTTTAGCTATTTTTAAAGATGACTTTTGTCAGAATGGGAAAAAGATTTTTTTTCATTTCAAGTCATGCTTTAAAGAAAAAAACTTAATTTCCCCCAAAAAATAGCCACAACCCAACAAAACAAATCCAGACAT